GCAACCTTTGAATTCATTAGCGTTTCGAGTTCATGAATCTTTTCCCAGTAGCTATCCAACTTTTCACCTTAGTTGAGAGAAGTAAGACAGAGAATACAAACCAAACGTGAGAAAACAAATCCAAAACCAATCAGGATAGAACGTTAAATGCATTAAAGCTTATACCCTTTGTTTTCACAGGGGATGCCGTCATCCCAAATATCCGCGGAACATCTGAAGTTACAGAATTTAACTCCTTGTGATAGAAGTCCTGCATGAAAATGAGCTACCCTATCAAAGAATTCACTTTTTATATAAAGATTTCCTGTGTTTCAGTGAGCTTTCAATCAGTTCTGAGTTCTCCAACTGTGAGGATCTTTTTATGCTCACCTTCATGATACGAGCATAGGCGTGCTTTCCTCTAGCATGATGACACTCATCAAATATAAGAACCTTGATCATGTTCAACGTCAGAAAACTATGACTTAACGCGCGGAGCAATATGTCAGGTGTCATCACAAGAACCTGCAGTTGTGAACCAAAGGAAAGATAACAGAGTGAACACTTGAAAGCTCCAAATAAGTTGAAAATGTACTTGTCAGTCAAAATAAGGAAAGGAGACCTCATATTTATCGACTTGTTGTTTCCATGTCGAAGAATCCCAATAGTCAACCCCCATTGCTCCCCAATACATGCCCACTTTTAGATCAGTATGCATCTTGAGGGCTTCTGCTTGCTGCGTAAAACACACACAAGGATGACGAAGTATGAACATCTTTACTAGTACTAGTGTTTCTAAATTTGGAAACTATTTGAATATCTTTGCTGCAAGATATATAACAGAGCTTGTGGAAGGAATAAAACTAAGTGTGTATTGTAGTTGCAAACTCAGAGACAGTGACGTTGTATACACTAAAAGAGTTAACGCATCATACTTGACTGACAAGAACGACTCGAGGAACCAAGAAGACGGTGAAGCATGGTGAAGGCTTGCGGAAAAGGTCGGCGTAATTACGAAGAAGCATAATGGCAATCAAGGTCTTGCCAGAACCAGTTTCCAAGTAGACAATTGTGTTCTGTTTCATAGCTATCTCAAGTGCCTCTACTTGATAACTGGAAACAAAGCAACATATATACAAGATTATTATTAGTAACTAGACGATTTTATCAATGGGTTATTCTCTCTCATTAGTACGAAACTAAACATTCTCAGAGCAAAGGAAGAAGATAAACCCAACAACCTTCTTGCTAATGGTAAAGGAGAAGCAGAGGCTTTGTCGACGCTCTCAGTTTCCATCTCATTAGCATCCATGTCCATCTAATCTAAAACATAAACAGTAAAATTACGAAAAACAGCAATTAAGACAAACGTAAATATCACAATTCCATGTCCATTCTGCAGTTTTCTCAAGATCGAACTAAGGGGATGAAATCAGAGAATAAACAAAGAAAGATGAAAACCTCCGATTGGGGGAAAAGAGACTGAGGAAGAAGAAGAAGAACCTTTTTGACTTGATAATGATAATTTGTTCTTATGATGTGACTTTAGTGATATACACTTTAGCTGACGTCATATTTTTGGAGTTCTACAAAAACAAACTGAAACAAATACAGCAAAATTCGTTTGACGTCAATTTTTTTGTTTTTGGTCGATTTTTCAAGAGGCAATTTTTGTCTTGATTTAGAGTTAGACGACTGCGAATGTTTTTGAAATAAGTTTGAACTAGGTAAATTTTATCATGTGTTATGTGTTATGCGCTGAATAAAATGATTAACCAGTAAAATCAATATGGTTTTAATTAAGAAATAAATAAGTTTTAATTAACAATAGCAATTGGGAAACCTATTAAATTATTGTATATATAATTTTTTTTCATCCATAAAATAAATAAAAATAACGA